ACACTTCTGTCATACACTTCTGTCATACACTTCTATCATACACTTCTATCATACACTTCTATCATACACTTCTATCATACACTTCTGTCATACACTTCTGTCATACACTTCTGTCATACACTTCTATCATACACTTCTATCATACACTTCTACAATACACTTCTACCATACACTTCTACCATACACTTCTACCATACACTTCTACCATACACTTCTACCATACACTTCTACCATACAGATCTACCATACACTTCTACCATACACTTCTACCATACACTTCTACTATACAGATCTACCATACACTTCTACCATACACTTCTACTATACAGATCTACCATACAGATCTACCATACAGATCTACCATACAGATCTACCATACAGTTCTACCATACAGTCGTACCATACAGATCTACCATACAGTTCTACCATACACTTCTACCATACACTTCTACTATACAAATCTACCATACAGATCTACCATACAGATCTACCATACAGATCTACCATACAGATCTACCATACAGTCGTACCATACAGATTTACCATACAGTTCCACCATACAGTCGTACCATACAGTTCCACCATACAGTTCCACCATACAGTTCCACCATACAGTCGTACCATACAGTTCCACCATACAGTCGTACCATACAGTTCCACCATACAGTTCCACCATACAGATCTACCATACAGTTCCACCATACAGTCGTACCATACAGTTCCACCATACAGTTCCACCATACAGTTCCACCATACAGTTCCACCATACAATTCCACCATACAGTTCCACCATACAGTCGTACCATACACATGGACAATACACAACAAAGTACATTGTTCCAACACCTGACGACCAACAACCACAATGTTAACTGGGATACTCTTCCTTTGCATAAACCAAAAAAGAAACATGTGCAGAGAAATGCATTTTTTCTGAGTTAGCTGCACCTGCTTCCCGGTGTGATTTCAGCTGATGGCGTAATTGCTGCAGCTCTGAACCTGACCTGGTGCTTGAAACCTGACTTTGTTACTGAAGCTTGGCCTGATTTCTGAAGCCTGACCTAGTTTCTGAAACCTGACCTGACCTGGTTTTTAGTCTGATCTAGTTCATGAGCCTGGTTTAGTAAATTTGACCTTTTTCCTGAATCTGACCTTGTTCCTGAACTTGACCTTGATCATGAACTTGACCTTGATCATGAACTTGACCTTGATCATGAACTTGACCTTGATCATGAACTTGACCTTGATCATGAACTTGACCTTGATCATGAACTTGACCTTGATCATGAACCTGACCTCGTTTCCGATCACAACAATGTCATTATCACTTCTGGGAAAATGATAGGGTGGATAATGAGAACCATAAAAAATAGCGATGCCAAACTACTTTACATAATGAGGAGTATCAACAGACCCCTGGCTGTCTTCAGGACCCCTGGCTGTCTTCAAGACCCTTGGCTGTCTTCAGGACCCCTGGTTGTCTTCAAGACCCCTGGTTGTCTTCAGGACCCCTGGTTGTCTTCAAGACCCCTGGTTGTCTTCAGGACCCCTGGTTGTCTTCAAGACCCCTGGCTGTCTTCAGGACCCCTGGTTGTCTTCAAGACCCCTGGTTGTCTTCAGGACCCCTGGTTGTCAAGACCCCTGGTTGTCTTCAGGACCCCTGGTTGTCTTCAAGACCCCTGGTTGTCTTCAGGACCCCTGGTTGTCTTCAGGACCCCTGGTTGTCTTCAAGACCCCTGGTTGTCTTCAGGACCCCTGGTTGTCTTCAGGACCCCTGGTTGTCTTCAGAACCCCTGGTTGTCTTCAGGACCCCTGGTTGTCTTCAGGACCCCTGGTTGTCTTCAGGACCCCTGGTTGTCTTCAAGACCCCTGGTTGTCTTCAGGACCCCGTTGAATTCAGAACCCCTGGTTGTCTTCAGGACCCCGTTGAATTCAGAACCCCTGGTTGTCTTCAGGACCCCTGGTTGTCTTCAGGACCCCGTTGAATTCAGAACCCCTGGTTGTCTTCAGGACCCCTGGTTGTCTTCAGGACCCCTGGTTGTCTTCAGGACCCCTGGTTGTCTTCAGGACTCCTGGTTGAATTCAGGACCCCTGGTTGTCTTCAGGACCCCTGGTTGTCTTCAAGACCCCTGGTTGTCTTCAGGCCCCCTGGTTGTCTTCAAGATCCCTGGTTGTCTTCAGGACCCCGTTGAATTCAGAACCCCTGGTTGTCTTCAGGACCCCGTTGAATTCAGAACCCCTGGTTGTCTTCAGGACCCCTGGTTGTCTTCAGGACCCCGTTGAATTCAGAACCCCTGGTTGTCTTCAGGACCCCTGGTTGTCTTCAGGACCCCTGGTTGTCTTCAGGACCCCTGGTTGTCTTCAGGACCCCTGGTTGTCTTCAGGACCCCTGGTTGAATTCAGGACCCCTGGTTGTCTTCAGGACCCCTGGTTGTCTTCAAGACCCCTGGTTGTCTTCAGGCCCCCTGGTTGTCTTCAGGACCCCTGGTTGTCTTCAGGACCCCGTTGAATTCAGAACCCCTGGTTGTCTTCAGGACCCCTGGTTGTCTTCAGGACCCCTGGTTGTCTTCAGGACCCCTGGTTGTCTTCAGGACCCCTGGTTGTCTTCAGGACCCCTGGTTGAATTCAGGACCCCTGGTTGTCTTCAGGCCCCCTGGTTGTCTTCAGGACCCCTGGTTGTCTTCAGAACCCCTGGTTGTCTTCAAGACCCCTGTTTGTCTTCAGGACCCCTGGTTGTCTTCAAGACCCCTGGTTGTCTTCAAGACCCCTGGTTGTCTTCAGGACCCCTGGTTGTCTTCAGGACCCCTGGTTGTCTTTAGGACCCCTGGTTGTCTTCAAGACCCCTGGTTGTCTTCAGGACCCCTGGTTGTCTTCAAGACCCCTGGTTGTCTTCAGGACCCCTGGTTGTCTTCAGGACCCCTGGCTGTTTTCAAGACCCCTGGTTGTCTTCAAGGCCCCTGGCTGTCTTCAAGACACCTGGCTGTCTTCAAGACACCTGGCTGTCTTCAAGACCCCTGACTGTCTTCAGGGCCCCTGGTTGTCTTCAAGACCCCTGGTTGTCTTCAAGACCCCTGGTTGTCTTCAAGACCCCTGGTTGTCTTCAAGACCCCTGGTTGTCTTCAGGACCCCTGGTTGTCTTCAGGACCCCTGGTTGTCTTCAGGACCCCTGGCTGTCTTCAGGACCCCTGTTTGTCTTCAAGAGGGCTGGACAGGCACCTAAAGTCAGTACCTGACCAGCCTGGTTGTGGTTCCTACTTCGGTTAGCATGAAACCTTCAGTAAAAACCTGGATGATCAGATCCTGATCCACCGAGAGGCCTGGTCAAGGACCGGGCCGCGGGGGCTTTAACCCCCAAAACACCCTCCAGGTATACCTATATCTTGTTTCCGAATTTAACCTCGTTCTTGAACTTGACATCGTTCCTGAAACCAGATTTACATCATGTTCCGATGTGTTTTATGTTTAAATACTCTCTCACAAAGTTCCAAACATATATATATATATATATATATATATATTATATATAATATATATATATATAAATTTTTATATATATATATTTATATATAATATATATATAATGTATGAGTGTAGATGAACATGTTTCAAGTTGACACAGGTATTGACTCCTGGTGAGAGGAAGGCAGGTACAGAGGCCAGGCTACAGGTAGAAGAGATATTTACCAGGTATAACATCCCAGAGAGGAGTCATCCTGCTGACTGTGCTCAGCTGCAAATCCACTACTCAAGGGCTTGTCCCGTTCCTGGGGAACTGCTAATACCCACACCACCCCATATCACCCCTGCTTTAAACAGATGCTTCAATGCATCAGCCACTACTGACCCTACCAGGGAAGCATGCAGATAAATTGAACGAAATACTCGCGATGAATGGTGTTTCTATAAGACTCCGGAACTCAACCAATGGGCTCTTCCTTCAGTATCTAATTCATGGTAGAGAGCACAGATTTCTTCCGCATTTATTAGCCGGAACAGAAAATAAAGTCATAGTAACGACTGGGTAGCAGTAGAGTTTAATGCCCAATTGAGTGCATGGGCATCATACTAGGATGCCCTGAAAGTCAGGGAATGCTAAGAAGAGTAGAAAAAGTCAGTGTTTAGAGGAAGGCAGAGATGGTTAACAAGATCCGTCATGCCAACGGAAGGAGGAAAATAAAAGATAACGGCTGGTGAAGGTGTCTGTTATGATCCCTAAGTTAAGTGACGAAGGAAGAAGAGGATTTTACCCGAAGGTGGACAAGGAGAGGCCAACGTTATCCCCAGAGAGTATCTTAGACTAGCACCGGGGACGGGGAGAGAGTAGTCAGGATGATGGAGATGAGATTCATCCAGAGCTGACGCAGAGGAAGATGAGAGAGAGAGAGGAAGATGAGGCAGAGGAAGATGAGGCAGAGGAAGATGAGGCAGAGGAAGCCTTGAGTTGTAGCTAGAATGAAGGTGACAACGAAGGGGCAGCAAGCATGGATGAACCAGGACTGCAGAAGAGAGGGGTAGTGAGAGTGCTAGGCAGAGTTTGTCGAAGGTTGATAGTGCCACACAACACGTGTCAACAGGACCACACAACACACGTCAACAGAGCCACACAACACAGGTCAACTGGGCTACACAACACAGGTCAACAGAACCACACAGCACAGGTCACCATTCAAACTTCCAGGTCATCGAATATTCTCGCTAAACATTACAGTTCACTGACTCTCTTGTTGGCTTCGTCACACAGACTAGGACACACCCATATATTGTTCAGCAGCTGTAACAACTGCAGCACTCTGCAAGGTGTTACAATCACAGGAGAGTAGCACAGCTTGTGTTACAATCACAGGAGAGTAGCACAGCTTGTGTTACAATCACAGGAGAGTAGCACAGCTTGTGTTACAATCACAGGAGAGTAGCATAGCTTGTGTTACAATCACAGGAGAGTAGCACAGCTTGTGTTACACTGCTTCTGATAAGGAACACACGAGCCAAGGCAGACTTACCTAGCAATGGGTGAGGTAAACAACACAGCAACAGCAGCAACAGCAGAACACACGGTGAGGTAGCCATATACCGCATACTGGATCCTGAAAGAAGAGACATACACATTAATACACATACACAAGGGTATCATTAGTTCCCATACACAAGGGCATTGTCAACACCCAAACGCAACGACGAAAACGGCTTAATTAACGGGTAACAACAGAGGACGCTGATATTCAATACACAACGGCCGATGCACACCGAGGTAGAGAGACCCAATAATAATAATAATAATAATGGATATCCATCAACCTTCACATCCACCAACCTTCACATCCACCAACCTACACATCCACCAACCTTCACCTCCACCAACCTACAAATCCACCAACCTTCACATCCACCAACCCACATCCACCAACCTACACTCCCCCAACCTCAATCACCAACCTTTTCACACCCCCAAACCCTTTTAAATCCCCCAATTTTTCACATCCACCAACTCACATCCACCCCCCTTCACATCCCCCAAACCCTACACATCCCCAACTACAATCCACCAACCCACACCCCCCAAACCTTTCACACCCAAAACCTTAAACCCCACCAACCTTCACACCCCAACCTCCATCCCCCAAACCTTTCACTTTCCACCAACCAAAACACAACCACCAACCCACATCCCACCAACCCCCTTCACATCCCCCAAACCTTTCCATCACCACCTTTCACATCCCCCAAACCCTTCACATCCCCCAAACCTCACATCCACCAACCTCACACCACCAACCTTCACATCACTCAACCCACATCCACCAACCTCTTCCCCAATCCACCAACCTTTCACATCCACCAACCTTCACATCACCAACCTTCACATCCACCAACCCTTTACACATCCACCAACCTTACACCCACCATCAATCCACCACCTTCACATCCCAACCTTCACATCCACCAACCTACCCCATCCCCAACCTTCACACCAAACCAGCCTTCACATCCCCCAGCCTTCACATCCACCAACCTTCACACCCCAACCTACACATCGCCTCACACCAACCTCACACCCACCAACCTCCCCCAATCCAAACCAACCCCCTTTCACATTCCACCAACCTTCACATCACAACCTACAATCCACCAACCTCATCCACACTTACATCCCAATCCAACAACTTCACATCCACCCAACCCTTTCACATCCCCCACTTAACCACAACCTCACATCCACCAACCTCACATCCACCAACCTTCACACCCCAACCTTTCACATCCACAACCTTCACATCCACCAACCTACACATCCCCCACCTTCTCACCCCCAACCTCCATCCACCAACCTGCACACCACCAACCTTCACATCCACCAACCTCCCCTGCACACATGCACACCAACCTTCACATCCACCACCTTCAACCACCTAACACCACCAACCAAAACCCCCAAACTTCCCACCAACCTTCAACCAACTCACACACCAACCTACACATCCCAACCTAATCCCAACTACAATCCACCAACTAAACCAAACCTACCATACCAACCTACACTCACCACTCCACACTCACATCCCCCAACCCTCACACCAACCTTTCTCCCACCTTCTCCCACCTACTCCCAAACCTTTCCATCCAATCCATCACCAACCTTCCTTCCACACCTTCACATCCTACCAACCTTCACATCCACCAACCTTCCATCCATCCACCAAACCGAACCCAACCTCATCACAACCTTTCCACCACAACATCCACCAACCTCCCAAAAAATACACACCCACCAACCTTCACATCTATCAACTTCCATCCAAAACCTACACATCCACCAACCTTCACATCCACCACCTTCACATCCACCAACCTTCACATCCACCAACCTACACACCCACCAACCTACACATCCACCAACCTTCACATCCACCAGCCTTCACATCCACCAGCCTTCACATCCACCACCTTCACATCCACCAACCTACACATCCCCCAGCCTTCACATCCACCAACCTACACATCCACCAACCTACACACCCACCAATATTTCACATCCCCAACTTTCCCCATTCACCAGCCTTCACTCCACCAACCTACACATCCCCCAAACCCTACCATCCACCAACCACACATCCCCCAAAACCTTCAACATCCCCCAACCTTCAATCCACAAACCTTCACATTCCACCAACCTTCACATCCACCAACCTTCACACCCACCAACCTTCACATCCACCAACCTTCACACCCCCCAAACCTTTCACATCCACCACCTTCAATTCCACCAACCTACAATCACCAACCTTCAATCCACCAACCTACACATCCACCAACTGCAATCCACCAACCTTACATCCACCAACCTTCACATCCCCCAACTACACATCCACCAACCTTCACATCCCCCAAACCCTCACATCCACCACCTTCACATCCACCAACCTTCAACCCAAACACCAACACATCCCCCAAACCTTCACATCCACCAAACCTACACACCACCAACCTTCACATCCACCAACCTTCACATCCACCAATCTACACACCCACCAAACCCTACACATCTACCAACCTTCACATCCACCAACCTTCACATCCACCAACCTTCACATCCACCAACCTACACATCCACCAACCCTGCACATCCACCAACCTTCACATCCACCAACCTTCACATCCACCAACCTACACACCCAAAACAACCTTTCACATCCACCAACCTTCCATCACCAGCCTTCACATCCACCAGCCTTCACATCCACCAACCTACACATCCACCAACCTTCACATCCACCAACCTACACATCCCCCAAACCTTCACATCCACCAACCTACACATCCCCCAACCTACCATCCACCAATCTTCACATCCACCAACCTTCCCATTCACCACCCTTCACATCCACCAACCTACACATCCACCAACCTACACATCCACCAACCTACACATCCCCCCAAACCCTACACATGCACCAACCTTCAATCCCCCAAATTTTTCACATCCACCAACCTTCACATCCACCAACCTTCAAAATCCACCAACCTACACATCCACCAACCTACACATCCACCAACCTTCACATCCACCAACCTTCACATCCACCAATCAAACACATCCCCCAACCCCTACACATCTACCAACCTTCACATCCACCAACCTTCACATCCACCAACCTTCACATCCACCAACCTAAAACATCCACCAACCTACACATCACCAACCTTCACATCCCACCAACCTTCACATCCACCAACCTACACATCCACCAACCTACACATTCACCAACCTACACATCCACCAACCTTCACATCCCCCAAACCCTTTCACATCCCCCAAACCCTTCACATCCACCAACCTTCAAAATCCACCAACCTACACTTTCCACCAACCTAAAAATCCACCACCTACACATCCCCCAAACCCTTCACATCCTCCAACCTTCACATCCACCAACCTTCACATTCCCCAACCTACACATCACCAACCTACACATCCCCCAAACCCTACACATCCACCAACCTTTACATCCACTAACCTTTCACATCCACCAACCTTCAATCCACCAACCTACACATCCACCAACCAAACCCCATCCACCAACCTTCACATCCACCAACCTTCACATCCCACCAACCTACACATTCACCAACCTAAAACATCCACCAACCTTCACATCCACCAACCTTCACATCCACCAACCTTCACATCACCAACCTTCACATCCACCAGCCTTCACACCCACCAACCTACACATCCACCAACCTAAAAATCCACCAGCCTACACATCCACCAACCTTCACATCCACCAACCTTCACATTCACCAACCTACACATCCACCAACCTACACATCCACCAACCTACACATCCACCAACCTTTACATCCACCAACCTTCACATCCACCAACCTTCACACCCCCAAACCCTACACATCCACCAACCTACACATCCACCAACCTTCACATCCACCAACCTACAATCCCCCAAACTTACACATCCACCAACTTCACATTCCCCCAAAACCTTCACACCCACCAACCTTCACATTCACCAACCTACACATCCACCAACGTTCACACCCACCAACCTTCATATCCACCAACCTTCACATCCCCCCAACCTTCACATCCACCAACCTTCCATTCACCAACCTACACTTTCCACCAACGTTCACACCCAAACCAACCTTCACATTCACCCCAACCTACACATCCACCAACGTTCACATCCACCAACCTTCACATCCACCAACCTACACATCCACCAACGTTCACATCCACCAACCTTCACATTCACCAACCTACACATCCACCAACGTTCACATCCAACCTTCACATCCACCAACCTTCACATCCACCAACCTTCACATCCACCAACCTTCACATCCACCAACCTACACATCCACCAACCTTCACATCCACCAACTTCACATCCACCAACCTTCACATCCACCAACGTTCACATCCACCAACCTTCACATCCACCAACCTTCACATCCACCAACCTTCACATCCACCAACCTTCACATCCACCAACCTTCACATCCACCAACCTTCACATCCACCAACCACTTCACATCCACCAACCTTCACATCCACCAACCTTCACATCCACCAACCTTCACATCCACCAACCTGCACATCCACCAACCTTCACATCCACCAACCTACACATCCACCAACCTTCACATCCACCAACCTTCACATCCACCAACCTTCACATCCACCCAACCTTCACATCCACCAACCTTCACATCCACCAACCTTCACATCCACCAACCTTCACATCCACCAACCTTCACATCCACCAACCTTCACATCCACCAACCTTCACATCCCTAATAGAACGTTCAAGATATTGATCTCCCTTCCTGCCCGCCTCTCCACTGGTCGCTAGTAGGGCCACTCTCTCCCTGCTCCATGAGCTTTATTATACCTCTTCTTAAAGCTATGTATGATTCCTGCCTCCACTGCATCACTCTCCAGGCTATTCCACCTCCTGACAACTCTATGTCTGAAGAAATACTTCCTAACATCCCTGTGACTCATCTGAGGTCTCAACTTCCAATTGTGATCCTGTGTTGCTGTGTTCCATCCCTGCAGCATCCT